TGTAAAAAGTGTTGAGCTGGTAAATACAGTGTTTTATATAAAGAGAGGGTCCTGGTGTGGCGCCACAGAATAAGTACTCAACCATAGGTCAATTTGAACAGCAAGGTCGGCAGTTCAAACCCACCAGTCACTGTTTGGAAACCCTATACAGTGTTACTATGAGTTGGAATCTACTTAGTGACACCAAACAACAAAAACAACATGAAATCCTGGTGTGGCGCCATAGGATAAGCACTGGATCACAAAGCCAGTTTGAACCATAAGATTGGTAGCTCAAACTCACCAACCACTCTTCGGAAATCCTGTACAGGGTAGTTATGAGTCTGACCTGGATATGTATTTGTTATTGTTGTTGAGTGCTGTCAAGTCTATTCCAACCCTGTATAGGGTTTCTGAGGCTTTATATCTTCGTGGAAGCAGAAAACTTCATATTTCTCTTGTAGAGCAGCAGGTGGGCTTGAGCCTTGGACCTTCTAGTTTTCAGTCCAGTGCTTATCATATAGAACCATCAAGCTCCAATAAATATATATATATATATATTCTGCTCCTTTAATATATCTATATATATTAAATCTACATGCTGAGCAAATAATCTGAGAAGTTGCATTATATGAAGAAGAATGTGACACCAGGATGGAGGAAGACTCATTAATAACCTGCGATATGCAGATGATACAACCTTGCTTGCTGAAATCAAAGCGGACTTAAAAATACTTCCTGATGAAGATCAAATACCACAGCCTTTGGTATTGGTTGCACCTCAATGTAAAGAAAACAAAAATCCTCACAACTGGACCAATAAATAACATCATGGTACATGAAGAAAGATTGAAGTTGGCAAAGACATCATTTTCCTTGGATTTACAGTCAGCACTCATGGAAGCAGCAGTTAAGAAATCAAAGGAGGAAAGTTTATGAACAAATTTAGAAATGGGAAAACACATTCACATTGCAAGGAAGCAAAATCAAATACATGGATACTGAATAACATCCTATTTAAAAACCACTGGATACCCATGCTAGAGAATAAGATCCCCTAAGAACTGGATTGAACCTCAGCATAGTGATCCTGCTTGGTCACCTTAGAGCAGGTGGTGGGCCGGCAATGTCGGGCGCATGGGGTCCCCAGCTGATCTCCTCCCTCCCTGCCTTCCTCGGATGGCGGCTGTTTATGCTGGACGTGTGGCCAGAGACGGGTAAGGATCACGTGGAACCTCGGCTACTTGGGACAGAGTCATTGCCATGCTGCAATGAGTCTCAATGACTGGTAAGACTGAGGAATTCGCACTGACCACCTAAGACAGGCAGCGTCCCTTAAACAATCAATAAATAAGGAGGACTCAGATGCAGACAGCACAGACCCGGTCAGGAGGCCAAGCCCCTGTGGGCCCAAGCGTTGTTGACCGTCCAAACCATAGGCTCTGAGGATCAGACTCTAGCCACCTAGTAGACATAACAAACTGTCCCTCATCTGATTATTCAGTAATGCTTGTTAGTAATCTCATACATGAGCCCTGGATATCCGCAGACAAATGTAAAAACCTTCCCTAAAAGCCGAGACTGTAAATTCCAATAAGCCAAGTCCCCCCCCATCCAAAAAACAAACAAACAAACAAAAAAAGCTAAAGAGGATAGAGAGAAACGCTGTAAACTGATGATATATGGCGGGGATAATAATCAATGTAATGAAACAAGCTATATGAATGGTTGAATGTGAAGGTGATGATGTGCCCTGTAAACTTTCACTCAATGCAAAATAAAAACATTTAATTAAAAAAAATAAAATAAAAACCACTGGATAATTGTTGTTAAGTGCCATCATGTCAATTCTGACCCATAGCTACCCTATATAGGGTTTCCAATGAGCGGTTGGTGAGCTTGAACCACCAACCTTGCAGTTCAAAGGACATTGCAGTCTGATGCATTAGCCCACAGCGCCACACCAGGTCTTTGTTGTGACTGCACCCTTATAGTTTCTTATGCATGTCGTTTGCATTTTCTCCCTGTTTTCTCTTGTTAGATTTGCTAGTGGTATGTCAATTCCATTAATCCTTTCAAAGAACTAGCTTCTTGTTTTGTTGATTCTTCCTATTGTTTTTCTGTTTTCTAATTAATTTATTTCTGCTCTAATCTTTATTATTTGTTTCCTTCTGTTGATTGTAGGCTATTTCACTGGTCCTTTTCTCTAATTGTTGGAGGTGTTGTGTTAATGTGCTGATTTTGGTTCTTTCTTCTTTTTGTATGTGTGCATTTATTGCTATAAATTGCCCCCTAAGCACTGCTTTTGCTATGCCCCAAAGGTTATTTGTTCTTTTTCATTCTCATTTGCTTCAAGAAATTCTATTTCATTTTTTATTTGTTCTTTAAAAAATGAAATAGAATTTCTTGAAGCAAATGAGAATGAAAACACAATATACCAAAAGAAATTGATCATTAGAAACCTGCCAACAAAAAAAAACAGTCCAGGCCTAGATGGCTTTACTTGTGAATTTTATCAAACATTCAGAGAAGATTGACACCAATTTTACTAAAACTATTCTAAAACATAGAAAAGGATGGAAAACTCCCCAATACATTTTATGAAATGAGCATAACCCTCATATCCAAACCAAGCAAGGACATCACTAAAAAAGAAAATTATAGACCAAAAACCCTCATGAACATAGATTCAGAAATTCTCAGCAAAATCCTAGTCAATACAATTCAACAACATATTAAAAAAAAAAAAAAGAATACATCATAACCAAGTGGGATTCATATCAGGGATGCAATAGAAAAACTGCCAACATAATCCACTGTATAAATTTTTAAAAAGGAAAAGAACAACATGATCATATCAAAAGAACTAATGACGAAAAGACATTTGACAAAATCCAACACCCATTCTTGATAAAAACACTCAACAAAGTAAAAATTGATGGGCAATTCTTCAGCATAATTAAGAGCATAAAAAATATATATATATATGCAAAACCAAAGGAGCTATGGTAGTGTAGTGGGTTACGAGTCAGGCTGCTATCCTCAAGGTCAGCAGTTCGAAACTACCAGCTGTTCCATGGGGGAAAAAAATTTCTGCTCCTGTAAAAATGTACAGCCTGGGAAACCCTATTCAGGGTCACTGTGAGTCAAAACCGACTCCATGGCATACCGCCGCCACCACCACCATACAAAACCAACAATCAACATCACTCTCAAAGGAGAGAAACTGAAAGTCTTCCCTTTGCAAACAGGAATCAGACAAGGATGCCATTTATCACCACTTCTATTCAATATTGTGTTGGAAGTCTTAGCCAGAGCTATAATGCAAGAAAGAAAAGTTGAAGATAATCAAATTGGCAAAGAAGAAGTAAAATTCTCTGTATTTGCAGATGATATTATCCTATACATAGAAAATCCCAAAGACTCAGCAAGAAAATGATTGGAACTCATTGGAAGATTCAGCAAAGTGTCAGGGTAGAAGATCAATATACAAAAATCAGTTGGGTTCCTCTGTACTAATAAGACAACTCTGAAAAGGAAAACAATATTATTTACAAAAAGCCACCCAAAGAATGAAATCGTTAGGAATTTATCTAACCAGAGAAACAAAAGACCTGTACAAACAAAACTACAAAACACTACTACATTTACAAAACAAAAGGAGTTTTAAAAAATAGAATATACTGTGCTTATGAATAGAAAGACAACATTGTGAAAACGTCAATACTGTCCAAAGCAATCTACAGATATAATGCAATCCCAATCCATATTCCAACAACATTCCTTAAAGAGATGAAAAAAAATGACCATGAACATTATATGGAAAGGTAAGAAACTTCAGATTATCAAAGTACTGCATAAGAAGAACAAAGTTGGAGGCCTCTCTCTCCCTGATCTCAAAAGTTACTATACAACTACACTGGTCAAAACAGCCGGTACTGAGACAGTGGAACAGAATTGAGGACCCAGAAGTAAATCCATCCACATACAGTCAACTGATCTTTGACAAAGGGCCAAAGTACATTAAATGGGGAAGAGATAGTCTCTTCAACTAATGGTGCTGGCAAAACTGGAAATTGATTAGCGAAATAATGAAACAAGACCATATCTCACACCATATACAAAAACAAACTCAATGTGGGTTAAAGGTCTAAATGTAAAGCCTAGAACTGTTAAAGATCATCAGTGAAAAAAGTAGAGACAAACTTAGGGGCTCTAATATGTGGCAAAAAACACAAACATCTATAAGTATAGGTCAAGTTCCTCAAGTTGTAGCAATTTATACTTGTTTCCTTTATCAACATTTTTTTTTATCTTACTCTAGTAGAGTTCTGATCAGCAAGACATCTAAAGAAGTGCATCTCCCCTTACTTCCTATCAGCTGGATGCTTCACTCTCAGTTCTAGCCCTCCGTGGCTATGTCCTTGTCCATGGGCTCAGGAGCTCCAGGTCTCACCATATTTTGGACCGATCAGCCCTTCCTCTTTCGGTTGTTTCCACCTTTTGGCTATTGTGACTAGTGCTGCAGTGAACATTGTTGTTGTTAAGTGCTGTTGAGCTGTTTCCAACTTACAGCAACCCTATATTGGCTTTCCAAGGAGCGGCTGGTGAGTTGGAACCACTTGTGATATAAACCAACCTTTCAGTCCAGTGCTTATCCTACTTTGCCATACCAGGACATTAGTGAACATTAATGTACTGATTGATGTTTACATTCTAGCCTTCATTTCTTCTGGGTATATACTTATGATTGGGCTTGCTGAGTTTATGGTAGCTCTATGTTTAATGCTTTGAAGAACCACCAACTCTTTCCAAAGTGGTTATATCATTTTATATTCCCACCAGAAATGGATAAGAGTTCCAGTTTCTCCACAACCTTACCATTTTTCAGTTTTTCCTTAATCATTGCCATTCTAATAGGTAAGTAGCAATTTTCTAATGAGTAATAAATAATCATAAGATTGGATGGTTTAATCCATTAAATTTTCCATTTGAAAATATGTATCCATCAGAAACTCCAAATGGCGCAATGGGAGATGCTACAGAATCTTGACAGCCCATTTCAGGAGCTGCTGCACCAGCTCTACTCTAAGAGCCTCCTACCAGTAGACATTCGACAGTACTTGGCCTTCTGGATTGAAGATCAGAACTGGTGAGGCCTTAATGATGTTGGGGAGTGGGATGGGAAAAGTGGATTCTTTCTTCTGAGTCCCCAGGATCCTGGAGTCAGGAAGGGTTTGGGAGGCCTCAGGACAGCAGCAACTTTGCTGAGACAATAACCTTTGCCCTTCCTGGTCCCCAGGGAGGAGGCTGCATTGGGCAACGATGATTCCAAGGCTAACATGCTCTTCTTCCAATTCTTGAACCAACTGAACTATGAGTGTGGTCCCTTTGGTCAAGACCCAGAGTACTTGTTGCTAAAACATAACTTGCGAAAATTTGCTCGGGACATTCAGGTACTTGGAATAGAATAATAAGATAGGAGTGAGATCTTAGCAGAGTATGGAGTATAGAGTATGGGGTATGGAATACAACCTGGAGGTACAAAGGAAAGGGGACAGACCTGATACGGAAGGGGGCAGACTCTGGATTTGTGGGATCACTGGCAGAGAGAAGTGAAAAGTCTAAATGTTCTTGTTGGGAGATGGACAGGGTTTGAGAGGCCAGTGTTTAAAGAGAAAAGATGTGGGGACTCTGAGGGAAGGGAAGTACTGGGGATACTGGTGAGAAAGTCTGGGGTGGTAGGCCACTGAGAGATGTTGAATTGGGTTACTCCTTTCCCTTACCCTACTTTAGGCCTGTCCCAACGGTCCTGCCCAGTTGGCTGAGATGATCTTTAATCTCCTTCTGGAGGAAAAAAGAATTCTGATTCAGGCTCAGAGGACTCAATCGGTGAGAAAAGTTGGGTGATGATGTTGGGAGGTCTTGGAGTAGAAAGGGTCCAATGAAAATGTGTGAGGCAGTTTGTCTCAGAACAGGATCATCCCACATTCTATAATGTAATTACAGGCCTAGATTTCAAGGATGAAAGATCAGATGAAATGTGCTATAGATCAAGACAAAAAAATGTAGTTGCTAAGGGGTCAGTTCCAACTCAGGATGACCCCATTATATAGAGAGAATAGAACAGCACTTCAAGCATATCTCCAGGCCTATTTCTGAGGCACATCTGGATGGGTTTGAACCACCAACCTTTTGATTAGTAATAGAACACTTAACCTTTTGTACCACCCAGGGACTCCAAAATGTACTGAGCCCTTTATTTTAGGACCAAAGAGAGCCAACCCTCGATGTACCTGTGGACAGCCAGCAGCATGAGATTGAATCCCGGATCCTGGAATTAAGGGCTAAGATGGAGGTTGGTAGATAGTATAAGGGATGGGTGGGCAAGGCTCAGCCCCACTTCCTCCCCCAAAAGCAGCCTTATCTGGGTCCCACCCCCTCTACAGAAACTGGTAAAGTCTATCAGCCAGCTGAAAGACCAGCAGGATGTCTTCTGCTTTCGATATAAGACCATGAACCTAGGTAGGAAAAATGCTGAGGGGTGGAAGAAAGATGGGTGCCTGCTGGGAGACCACGGGTGGAAGAGAATGGAAGGGAAGAGCTCCTGTGAGCGTATTAACTACATTCTAGCCATGCAAAATTAGTAGTGCCCCGGGTATATGGTGGGGGTCAGGGACCAGTAGTAAGTGTTGGAGGAAAAGCATGGAAGCTGCCTTAGTGAATTTAGTGGGCGTCTGGTCCAAACCTAGAAGTGCCTATGCTTTGCTTTGTTTCCCCTTCTTCTTTCAAAATTCCCCACTGCTGAGCTGGATGAGACCATAGTCAAGAAGGAGAGGGACTTGAGCCCTGGGTTTGAGCATGATCTGACTTGTGCATCTTACTATCCAGTGAGGACACCCTCTTTGAACTCCCATCAGGCCAAACAACAGCAAGTTCTGCAGGAAACTATCAATGAACTGGACAAAAGGAGGAAGGTGGGAGGCCAGGGACGGAAGGCATGGGAGGTGGAGCACTGGGAAAATGAGGGACCCGGGAGCCCTAGCCTCTTAGCCTTGGCTGCTCTGTCTGCTCATCCCCAGTTGGATGGTGGAGAGAGCTGGTGAGAAATGCCCAGCGCTCATATTATCTCTTAACTAGGAGGTGCTGGATGCCTCCAAAACACTGCTGGGCCGATTGACTACCCTAATTGAGCTACTGCTGCCAAAGTTGGAGAAGTGGAAAGTCCAACAGCAAAAGGCCTGCATTGGAGCCCCCACAAACCATGGGTTGGAACAGCTGGAGAAGTGGTAAGAGGCACCGCCTACCCCCATGCTCACCCCGACCCTAGCCACAACTTTGTAAGTTGTAATGTTTTGTATACATTAAGAAATAGTGCTCATAACAACCTCTGCCTCTCGGAATAAGCCTAGCTCCCTTATCTGCCTGTAGTTATATTCTGCACCTGTATCCTCACCCCTCAGGGGACCCAGAGCCCACTTGGTGGAAGTGATGGATTAACTCACAGCTTGGTTTCTTTTTCTTTTTAATCACCTCAGAAATAGTTTTTACTTTTTTTTTTTTTTTTAACAACAGTGAATATAATGCAAATACACACACACAAAATTTCTGTTACCTTATTACTCAGGTATAGCTACATAATAGTAACAAAAAAATGCACTAAACTGTTTATACTACTTTTAAATATGTAGGATTCTTTTTTAACTTAGAAATAATAGTCCTCTATATGTGGCACTGAAGTCCTGTGGTGTGGTGCTGTGGGTTAATGCGTGAGACTGCAAAGCTGTTTGAACTGCAAGGTTGGCAGTTCCAGGTTACCAGCTGCTTCTTGGAAACCCTATACAGGGTCGCTATGGGTCGGAACTGACTCAACAGCACTTCACAACAACAACAACAACATATGTGGCACTATTTCAGTGTCTCTTCTGACATCCATTTTGACGTTTTCCTTCTTTCTTGTCTTCTCAGTGACTTTTTGCTCTCTTCATGTATGATGTTCTTGATGTCATCCCACCACTCTCTGGTCTTCAGTCTTTAGTGTTTAATGTATCAAATCTGTTCTTCAGATGATCCCTAAATTCTGGTGGGACATATTCAAGGTCATATTTTGGCTCTCATGGACTTGTTTTCATTTTCTTCAGCTTCAGTTTGAATTTGCATATGAGTAATAGATGGTCTGTTCCACAGTCTGCCCCTGGCCTTGTTTTCACTGATATGGAACTTTTCTATCGTCTCTTTCCACAGATGTAGTAAATTTGATTTCTATGTATTCCACCTGGTGAGGTCCATGTGTATAACCATCTCTTATGCTCTCTAAAGAAGGTATTTGAAATGAACAAATCATTGGTTTTGCAGAATTCTATCATACATTCTCCAGCATCATTTTTATCACCAAGGCCATAGTTTCCAACTACTGATCCTTCCTCTTTGCTCCCAACCTTTGCATTCCAATAACCAGTAATAATCAATACATCTTCATTGCATGTTTGATCAATTTCAGATAGAAGAAGTTGGTAGAATGCTTCTATTTCATCCTCAGTGGCTTTAGTAATTGGTGCATAAATTTGAATATTAACTGGGCATTCCTGTAAGTTCATGGGTATTGTCCTGTCACAGACAGCGTTGTACCTCATGACTGATCTGGATATGTTCTGTTTGACAATGAATGCAACACCATTCCTCTTCAATATGTCATTCCCAGCATAGTAAACCTTGTGGTCATCAGATTCAGAATGACCAATACCAGTCCATTTCAGCTCACTAATGGCTAAGATATATCGATGTTTATGCATTCCATTTCATTTTTGACAATTTCCAGTTTTCCTAGATTCATGCTTTGTACATTCCATATTCCTATTTTCAGTGGATGTTTACAGCTGTTTCTCTTCATTTTGAGTTGTGCCCCATCAGCAAACGAAGGTCCCCATGGGCTTTTCTCCCACGGGGTTTTCCCCATTTGCGTCAACACGGTCAACTCTACTTTGAGGAGGAGGCAGCTCTTCCCCAGTTGCATTTTAAGTGCCTTCCAACCTGAGGAGCTCATTTTCTGGCACTATATCTGACAGTGTTTCTCTGCTATTCCTAAGGTTTTCAGTGACTAAATATTCGGAAGTAGTTCATTACTCCTTCCTCCTAGCAAAAAGTCATTAAGAATACAAGAAAGAAGGAAAAGGTCAAAATGGATATCAGAAGAGACACTGAAACTTGCTCTCCAGTGTAGAGATGCTAAAGCAAATGGAAGAAATGAGGAGGTAAAAGAGATGAACAGAAAATTTCA